GGGTCAGCAATTTCACCTCCCTTAAAGGTGTGTTAGGTGCAGCAATATTCCAGCCTAGAAGAGCAAGTGACCTGAAGAGTGTCATCCATGGGCTTGCCTCCCTAGTTTTGAAGGCTCTCATTATCCATCCTGTCATTTTTCTAGCAGATGCGATTGATACAATGTTACGGTCCTTGAAGGTGAGATCCTCCGACATGATCACTCCCAGGTCTTTGACGTTGGTGTTTCGCTCTATTTTGTGGCCAGAATTTGTTTTGTACTCTGATGAAGATTTAATTTCCTCGTGTTTACCATATCTAAGTAATTGAAATTTCTCATCATTGAACTTCATATTGTTTTCTGCAGCCCACTGAAAGATTTGGCTGATGTCCGCCTGGAGCCTTGCAGTGTCTGCAATGGAAGACACTGTCATGCAGATTCGGGTGTCATCTGCAAAGGAAGACACGGTGCTGTGGCTGACATCCTTGTCTATGTCGGATATGAGGATGAGGAACAAGATGGGAGCGAGTTTACCTGGAGAGAGTTCCGGGGGTGAACGCCCCCGCGGCCCGGTCTGTGACCAGGCCTCCTGGTGGATCAGAGCCTGATCACCCAGGCTGTTGCTGCTGGCTGCACGCAAACCAATGTACGAGCCACAGCCCGGCTGGTCAGGAACCGACTTTAGGTGCTTGTCCAGTGCCAGCTTGAAGACTGCCAGGGGCCTGTTGGTAATCCCCCTTATGTATGCTGGGAGGCAGTTGAACAGTGTCGGGCCCCTGACACTTATTGTATGGTCTCTTAACGTGCTAGTGACACCCCTGCTTTTCATTGGGGGGATGTTGCATCGTCTGCCAAGTACTGTGCCTTGTGGAACAGAGCTTTTCACCGTAGCTGCCTCGGACTTTACTCTGTTGATGACTACTCTCTGTGTTCTGTTAGTGAGGAAATTATAGATCCATCGACCGACTTTTCGTGTTATTCCTTTAGCACGCATTTTGTGCGCTATTACGCCATGGTCACACTTGTCGAAGGCTTTTGCAAAGTCTGTATATATTACATCTGCATTCTTTTTGTCTTCTAGTGCATTTAGGACCTTGTCGTAGTGATCCAATAGTTGAGAAAGACAGGAGCGACCTGTTCTAAACCCATGTTGCCCTGGGTTGTGTAACTGATGAGTTTCTAGATGGGTGGTGATGTTGCTTCTTAGGACCCTTTCAAAGATTTTTATGATATGGGATGTTAGTGCTATCGGTCTGTAGTTCTTTGCTGTTGCTTTACTGCCCCCTTTGTGGAGTGGGGCTATGTCTGTTGTTTTCAGTAACTGTGGGACGACCCCCGTGTCCATGCTCCCTCTCCATAGGATGGAAAAGCCCCTTCTTGCAGTTCTTGATGAACACGGAGTTCCATGAGTCTGGCCCTGGGGCAGAGTGCATGGGCATGTCATTTATCGCCTGTTCGAAGTCATTTGGCGTCAGGATAACATCAAATAGGCTTGTGTTAACCAAATTTTGTGGCTCTCTCATAAAAAATTCATTTTGATCTTCGAATCTCAGTCTGGTCAGCGGCTTGCTAAAAACTGAGTCATATTGGGACTTGAGTAGCTCACTCATTTCCTTGCTGTCATCTGTGTAGGACCCATCTTGTTTAAGTAGGGGCCCAATACTGGACCTTGTTCTCGACTTTGATTTGGCATGAGAAGAAATACTTTGGGTTCTTTTCGATTTCTTTTATGGCTTTTAGTTCTTCCCGCGATTCTTGGACTCTATAAGATTCCTTAGCTTAAGTTCGATGCTTGCTATTTCTCTGACCAGTGTCTCCCTACGCATTCAGAAAATATTGACCTCTTTTAGCCTCTCTGTTATTCTTTCTGTCGCCTGTAAAGGGAGCGCCTGTCTCTTTTCTATTTTACATCTACTCCTCCTTTTTCTTAGAGGAATAAGCCTTGTGCATACATCGAGTGCCACCAAGTTAATCTGTTCTAGGCATAAGTTGGGGTCTGTGTTGCTTAGTATATCTTCCCAGTTATATCGGTTAGGAACTTGGTTTACTTGGTCCCACTTTATGTTTTTGTTATTGAAGTTGAATTTGGTGAAAGCTCCCCTCGTGACTAGTCTCATTATGTCGGTCTGGGGCTCCACGCATACATGTCTGAACCTCGATTATGTTGTGATCTGAGTATATTGTTTTTGATATGGTGACATTTCTTATCAGATCATCATTGTTAGTGAAGATGAGGTCTAGTGTATTCTCCAGTCTAGTAGGCCCTATTATTTGCTGGTTTAAATTGAATTTTGTGCAGAGATTTAAAAGCTCGTGTGAGTGTGAGTTTTCATCAGAGCTGCCCCCTGGTGTTATTACGCAACAATATTATTTGCTATATTCCTCCATTTTAGGGGGCCTTAAGTTGAAATCCCGCAGGGCAAGATGGTTGGGTGCAGGAGCTGGAAGATTTTCCAGACAGTGGTCAATTTTTAACAGCTGTTTCCTGGAATTGCTGGGATGTTGCATCCGGAGGCTTGTAGACTACTACAATGACTAGGTTTTGGTTCTCGACCTTTATGTTTAAAACTTCACTGCATCATTTGAAGCATTAAGCAGTTCTGTGCAAACAGTGATTCTGCAATGTACAGGCCAACCCCCCCCCCCCTTTTGCCTATTCACTCTGTCACATCTGTATAGGTTGTAACCTGGGATCCATATTTCGTTGTCCAAGTGATCCTTTAGTGGGTCCCCAGTGAAACCCGCGAACATTGCCTTTGCCTCGGGCAAGCAGTCCCGGATGAAAGATATTTTTTTTGTTTGTTGCTGGCTTTAGACCCTGTATATTTGCAAAGAAAATGTCATCGGATGGTGGTATTGTTGGTACTGGGGGGGGGGGATTTTTTCCCCGGCATTACTATCTGTATCTGTTAGTTTGGAGTGGAGGCCATCGACTGTGGTTCCACTCCAGGAAAGACTGGATTTGGTGTACGATTTCTGCCATTTCCTGCCAGTTTTTTTTCCTTCCTGGCACTAAAAAACCTCTCCCTCTTGAGTGGCTGTGGCTGCCCATTTTTTCCCAGGGCCCTGGATGTTTTGTATCTTTTTGTCCCTTTTAGATGGTGTGCCTGGCAATTTAAGTTATAGCACAGTCTTTCCTGTACTGAAGAGGTACACATTTCAGTAAGAAATATAATCTAAAAAAAAAAATGAATGATTTCTAAGGTCGTGTATGGGTTCCAGATCTCAGAGTTTCTATTAGAAGAAGTCGAAGACGAAGATTGTGCATGATTAGTTTTTTGAAAGGGACCCCAATTTATATGTCACTGACTTTTTGTGGGTTAGCTTAGGTAATTCTACCTGGAGGTTATTCCGGGGATCAACGACCCCGCGGCTGGGTCCAGGGACCAGGCCTCCCGATGGATCAGGGCCTGATCAACTAGGCTGTTACTGCTGGCCGCACGCAGTCCAACGTACGAGCCACAACCCGGCTGATCCGGCACTGACTTTAGGTATCTGTCCAGCTCTCTCTTGAAGGCAGCTAGGGGTTTTTGGCAATTCCCCTAATGCTTGATGGGGGCTGTTGAAACAGTTTTGGGCCCCGGACACTTGGGGTGTTTTCCTTAGTGTACCAATGGCGCCCCTACTTTTTATTGGGGGAAATTTTGCATCGCCTGCCCAGTCTTTACTTTCGTAGGGAGTGATTTCTGTGTGCAGTTTGGGACCATTCCTTCCAGGATTTTCCAAGTGTAGATTATGATATATCTCTCCCTCCTGCGTTGCAACGAGCACAATTCAAGTGCTTCCAAGCGTTCCCAGTAGTTAAGGTTTCTTGACAGAACTTATACGTGCGTAACTTCTTATCGAGAGGTGTATTTTCTCTCAGCTGAGAATTTGCTTTAACCTAAATACGTATATCTTCTAGCAGTAAACTAATATAAGCTTTATTCAGAAAAAAATACATTATTTTTGCATATATACCTGGAGGATGTTTCGGTAATAGTCTTTATGTATGCTGGGAGGCAGTTGAACAATCTTGGGCCCCTGATGCTTAGTGTTGTCTTTATCGTACTCGTGGCACCCTGCTTTTCAGTGGGGGACTGCCCCCGCCCGCCGAGTATTTTGCTTTTTATAGGGGGTGATTTCGACGTGTAGATTTGGGGCTATTTTCCTCTAGGATTTTCCAAATGTTTATTATCATGTATCTTTCTCGCCTGCGTTTCGAAGAGTACAGGTCAAGGGACTTCAACTGTTCCAGTAAAGTAGTTGCTTTACTGTACTTTTACGCGCAGTGAAAGTTTCTGAATATTCTCCAGGTCTGCAGTTTCGCTGCCTTGAAAGGGGGTTTAACCTGGAGTATACCCCGGGGGGTATTCCGAGGGTCAAAGCCCCAGCGGCCGGTCCATGACCAGGTTCTAGTTTAGTAGGTTTGCTGGTCTTGCCCGGCCCGGGTTTTACCAAAAAGGTGACCCGGCATTGGCTCCTCAGCATGACCAGGCCAAGGTAGTAGTAAAAATTTATAACAATGGTTAGAGGACTCCCCTTATTTTAGATATGCAACAATTTGTATGCATTTAAAAGCAGCCAAGGGTTCATTAGATTGATTTTGTAGGAAGTCATTAGTAAGTTATTTAGGTACAGGTATACATATACTTAAGTACAATTGTCATACCAGTAAAACCGGGGTCCTAGTATGTATGTATGTGTGCCTTGAAGTAAATAATAAAATACATTTTATATACGAACGAACTTCAAAAATTGCTTGAAAATATGTGAATGGAAATGGCAGAAAAAAAGTTTACAATAACATTTTCACTCAGGCTTAAAAAAACTTTTACCATGAGCAAGCAAGCGAACGGTATATATTTTTTTTTTCAATGCATGACAAAAATATAATACAATATGAACTGGTATGTGGTTAAAATTAGGCAGGTAGTAGAAGAGGGTGTGTGTATGTATGTGTTTTGTGTGTGGGTGTGTGAGCAGGGTGTGTGTGTGTGGCTGGGTCAGTGTAAGGTAGTCAGCGAGAGGGATTGTTGGTGTCTTGCCTGCTCTTGTTAACCTCACGTCGCCTCGCACCCTCCTATTGTGCACCTTTATACCCTCCTATATAACCGGTAAGGTGTGTTACATGGGTGTTTGTGTTTTAGCGTGGTAGAATGATGCTGTGTGTAGTGTAACATATTGACTACTGTGTAACATCTGACACTCAAAACCCCGGGATCTCGGGTTGGGTTTCCTGCAAATATGTAATTTATGAATTTATACATTGTATATGCATTATACTGCAAGCATATTCAGGATTATAGACGTAGAATTCTTAATGGTTTTGCTAAACTAAGATCAAATGACGAATACGTGTATTTTATTACCAAGTTAGTTTTTTTAGGACAATCTATTTAAATTTATTTTACGAAGAGTAGCAGAAATTTTTATGGATTGGAGGACATATTTGTACATAATCTAGCTTTAATCTAGAATGCCTCATTAAAATCAGTGAGGGATTGCGTATTAACGTTGGGCAGTTAGTATTTTACAGATACCAGATATCTAAAATTTTAGAAAGTTAAAACCATAGCTAACTGGTTTCCCTGAACACCAAACCAAGGTCAGCATTCCAGACAAGTTATGATTTAGTTAATTCTAGTAGTATTTTGAAGTGTTTTGCTTGTTTAAGCCGGTTTAGAGGTTCTTGATCTAAGGAGCTGTTATCTTTTCTGTGGACCGAACCTGAATGCTTACCATTCCCCCAGGTGCTGTATAACCTCTAAGGGTTTAGAACTCCCCCATAAATGTAATAGTACAAATTTGCTCGTTTCATTGGAAGTGTGGTATAGGTTGTGAGCTTTGACAAAAAAAATTAGACTCGTATATGGATGTAAGATCTGTATCATTGTACTTACTGAAAGAGATTGATATAAATGCCTTTGAAAAGTCGTAGGGGCATCTTAAATTGCTGTCACAAAATGCCTCTTTTTGTATATTTTTTTTATTACTAATATTGTAATGATGTACACTATAAGTACTATTCAACTTGCATGTGCCATATCTTTGTACAGTATCTGAATAAAAATTTACTACTCTACAGTAATTGTGTAATGAAGGGCATATAGTTATAAGCTTATAGCTTAAGGATTTTGTGTGGGTATACCTCACTACATATAAGCTTATTCATTGGTATATTAATCTGAATGTAAATGATGACATGAAGCAACAAGTGGAAAATAATATACTTTGCAGGGTAAGTAAGCAAGTAAGTTTATTTAGGCACAGGTACACATAAGCACAATTATCATGTATAGTGTAAATTACCGAGGAAAACCCAAAAAATTCAAAGTGACTGTTTCTGTTGGGGTCATTATTGCTACACTGTTTCATTTAGGGCTGGATTTGATCATACTTGATAGTTCAGCCCTAGATGAAACAATGTAGCAGTAATACAGGCTTCCCCTGCAACACAGTCTTTACCATATAAAGCTTGCTACTCCATGCTAGGTTATACCAAGTTAGAGGATACATAACCCACACAGGTTGCCATACATTTACCTTTGAAGAGCTTCGAGAGTTTCACTACTCTTGGAGCCCAGCCATGGGCCAGGCTCGTCTGGTGCTTGCCTGGTCAACCAGGCTGTTGCTGCTGGAGGCCTGCCACCCCACATATCCATCACAGCCTGGTTGATCTGGCACCTGGTGAAGATACTTGTCCAGTTTCCTCTTGAAGGCTTCTGCACTTATTCCAGCCATGTTTCTGATATCTTCTGGTAAGATATCAGAATAGTCTGGGACCCCAAGTGTTGATGGTGTTCCCATATTGTTCCCACCACACCCCTGCTCCTCACTGGGTTTATTTTGCACTTCCTCCCATATATCTCACTCCAGGATGTTATGGCGGTGTGCAGATTTGGGACCAAGCTCTCGAGTACTTTCCAGGTATATCATGTATCTTTCTCTCCTCTGCTCCAATGAGTACATGTTCAAGACTTGAAGGCAGTTTTTGTCAATATAATGTATAGAAAATATGATTACAGTACCTTTGACTCCATTCTAAATGACAGTTGTTTGTTACTCTGAAATCCTTCTATCGACAGTACAGTACATCATACAAGTCCCACAGGCACCAAACTTGGCCAGTTGATTAAACATAGGCTTTTTATTTGCTGTATCACTTGCAACTTGAAGGTCAATGATGGCTGCATTGGTACTTTGACGTTTTCCAATAAAATATGTAATAAATAAAATTTTTAGTGCTTTCTTCCCCCCTTCCTGGTAGAAACTCTTATTGATGTTGTAAAAGTTGATTCTGTATCTACAACATTAGCTTGAAAACAGTTCTTCTGAACCTTAAAAGATAAAAGATTTTATTTCTTTGTGAAGATTACAATGTGTAATTACAATTTTGATTTGGTAAGTATAAAGAAAGCCACCATCATGCCAGGGGATTTCAGGCAAACTAATCATAGTACATAATAACCAAGTCTGGACAAGATAAGAATGATAAACTTTGTAATAAATCTTTTTTTTTATCTTAATACTAATGTGAGGTAGTCAGGGTGGAGGTTTATAAGAATAATAATCTTGAAGTTGCACATAATAAACATAATATTACAGTTAATGGTTCAAACAGTAATATTTTATGGATTCGCTGATGTTTTAATAGACTAGAGGTCATATAATATTTTGAAGAGTTGCTTCAAACAGTATAAGGGATTCAATAGTTTCTTTTGTAATGCAGGAGGCTCAATCTCCAACATCTCAGATGGGATTTAAAGATCCCATCTGAGATCCCTGGTCTCTAGGGAGGAAGTATTGCCCAAATCTGGGGGGGGGGGGGCAAGTGTTCTTAAACACAACCTCAAATACAACCTTAAGATCAGCTTCCCTCCCCCTCAGCCCCAAAGCTATGCAGAAGTAGCAGTGCAGAAAATGGTAACAAACGTTTGGAGCCCAAACTGATATGCAGAGCCAGTAAGGGAAGAGGATGTAATTGCCCCCCAAAACAACCATGAAAATGGCAGTGATGCTCAGAGTAGAACAAGACTTAAATATTTCAGCTGGCCACCTGGTGGCTTTGTTGAAATTCCTAAAAATCAAACATGTGATAGCTTATCTCATAATTCTGTAAACCTATAACTGTGAAAGTGCAGTTTTTTCACTAATCTCCTGTATCAGATAATCAGAATTTTAAATATGAATGATATGAAGAAGATTGCACCAGTAGAGCAAAGACAGTATGTGAAGTTATTGAACTGAATCTCTGAATAAGCTTGCTATGTTGTCTTACCCCTCTACCATTTTCATGGTAATCCCTGCCCCATGAAATTTGTCAGTGTACTCTCATTTATTTCTCAAGACCCCCCCCTAACTAAGAATGAAACTGTACAGGTGATCATGTACAGTCCCATAGAGGCAGTCAAGTTCTAGTCTGGGTCAGTAGTTTGGTGGCAAAATCCTAGTCTTGGTCCACAGGCGGCAGCCATGTCCTAGCCTAGGTACAGTACTTTTAGAATTGTTAGTATTGGCTCACAAATTTGAAAATGACCATCAGTATTGTACTTGCTATTTTATACAAAATAAATTAAACTTTCCTAGGTATACCTGGAGTATACCCGGAGAGTTCTGGGGGTCAATGCCCCTGCAGCCCAGTCTGTGACCAGGCTTCATGGTGGATCAGGGCCTGATCAACCAGGCTGTTACTGCTGGTCGCATGTAATCCAGTGTACGAACAACAACCCGCCTGGTCAGGTACTGACTTTAGGTGCCTGTCTAGTGCCTACTTGAAGACAGCCAGTGGTTTATTGGTAATCTCCCTGATGTATGCTGGGAGGCAGTTGAATAGTCTTGGGCCCCTGACACTTACTGTGCTCTCTTATCGTGCTAGTGGCACCCCTGCTTTTCGTTGAGGGGATGTTGCACTGTCTGCTGAGTCTTTTGCTTTCGTAGGGAGTGATTTTCGTGTGCAAGTTTGGTACTAATCCCTCTAGGATTTTCCAGGTGTATGTAATCATGTATCTCTCCCTCCTGTATTCTAGGGAGTACAGGTTGAGGAACTTATGTTGCCATTTATTTTTTGGTTCAACAGCTCTCTACTATTGATACTTAAAAATCTAGGTCTGCACTGTGGTCTTTAGATATTTATTTCTTGATATGACAAGCATCTTAGTGCATACTGTATTGCACTTTCACCCAAAACTTAAAGCACAATCAACCATACAAGCTTGTTCAACTAGAGTGAAGTATTGTAGTATACATTGCTCCCTATAAATTTGAGGTTAAATTCCTAGAGGTCCCAGCAGATTTAGAAAGTAGAGAATAAATCTCGATATGCCAAAATACTGCACTTGCATTTTTTAAATGCGGGTTTCTTGTGAAATCTAGAAATTGCTAGTAACAAAATATTGTCCATATAATTTTGTTTCATATCTGAATTTTTGTGTTGCAGAGGCCTCATCTCTAAAATTTTGCTTTAGCCTCAATACTGGCATTTTTTAAGGAAGCTTGGCTTAAAGATATATGCATTGGAAATCAGTGAGCATGTTTTCAATAAGATTCTGCACTTGGTTTTCACTTGATAGGGATCTTTGGCCAAGCCAAAGGAACATTTACATTGTAAAAAAAAAAAAAAAAAAAAAAAATTGTTTGGCATTAACCCTTTCAGGTTCGACAGGCCCTCTCAGAGACTTGTTTTGAGGGTCACCGAAATTTCAGAAAAAAAATTATTTTTTCTTATGAAAATATAGAGAATCTTTTCCCGATCATAATGACACCAAAAGTATGAAATTTGATGGAAAACTTACGGAATTATGCCTTCGCGAAGTTAACGGTCTCGACAATGTTTACTCATCTGCGATTTTGCCCACTTTGAGCCCCATTTTCGGCCAATTCCACTGTACTAGTCGACAAAAATCATGAATATTTCGCTAGAACTCCATTTTTTTCTATCGAATGAGTGTAAGAAACCACCCATTTACCGATTTCAACTATCCAATACAGTGGTCAGAATTTAGCAATTTTGCCAATTTCACACAAATTTCAAAAGATGCCAATTTCCAAATAGGGTCCAGAATAAACAAGAAAGACATTCCTGGCACTAAAATGACATTTCCTCTGTTAATTAGTCACGTCCCAACGCCCCTCGTACTTTCTTTTGCTTTCCACTTTGAATTTTTATTCTCACAAAAAATAGAAGATTTACTGTTATGCAGACTACTGCATTAGTGTAAAAAATATTATAAATAATATCAGCGCACTTGTGAAAAAATATTAGACTCGCCAGTTGACGTGCATTGGACGCTTAGCATGATTTGTTTACTTTTGAACTTTGGTAAAAATCGAATATTTCTGTTAGTTTGAGCTCAATTTCAAGGTACTTTTCCTTGTAAAATCAGTCAAAATCATCTCAATTTCTGTAATATGTCTTCCATTCTATAAAATGAGACCAGGAAAACTAGAATACAACAATAAATACCATACGAAAATACAGTGCAAAGTCGCTGTTTTAATCCAAAAACACGGTCAAAGTTTTTTTTCTCATTACGCACTGTGTGCTGCAGGATTTTTTTTATATTGCTCACGCTGACTACATAGACCCATTCTTTCATATGTGGGCCTACCAGCTTTCTCTCACTAGATTTAAGGGCGCTAAAATTTAGGCATACTAGTACGTCAAAAACCCTGGGTCGTAAGCCGTACTAGTACGGCCGAAACCCTGAAAGGGTTAAGGGGTGCCTTGATGCTCATAAGAAGATTGGAATTTGATGTATCCTCCATTTCCTTGGCCCAAGCATGATTGCCTCCATTTTCCCCAGACACTATGACTCCTGCAGGTTTGGTGCTCCCCCATGATTCAGTATGTGCATGTCTTGAATATGTTGCTGAATATACAGCGCTTAAAATGTTAGCATTTATAGACCATGAAAGCAGTTGTGGACACAGTGCAAGTAGTGACCGGTCTTGCATTCTTTTTAAATGTGCAGTTTTTTTTGACAGAGTTAAGCTAAAGACCAAAATTAGTGTTAAGGTGGCTGATTGTATCATAGGCAGGGAGGTGAAGGACAGCATTGTTTCATTGTTGTAGTTTATAAATGACAAGCCAGCTGTATATAATAGCTTTGGTGAATATAACTCCTCCACCCAATATGTGCCTTCAAAGCAGTTTGCCTTACACTGTCCCATTGTGCATAAGACAGGCATCTGTATATTGCCTACAAGACAAGTGAATTACATGCCTCGTATGAGCTGCTTGCACTTGATTTTAGTTTATTCGTAGAGTGGTTCATTCCAGTGATGAATGACCCAAGTGAGTTTAGCTCTTTGTGAATGTATACTACTACTATTTCTCCTTATAGCAGTTCCTTCTAGAGCTGAAAGACCCAAATAGATTTAGTGCTTTCTGTGAGTATACCATACAGTAAACCTCTTGTAAAGTGCAGGTGTTACATTCCTGGACATTAGCTTGTAGCATAAAATTGTGAAACAAAGAACATATGGGTAAAATACAGTTACATTCTTTAAAAAAAATTACAGATTTATCACATAATTCTTTACTATTGCATTAGGTAAGATTACAGTACTTAGTACCCACTCTTTTAATTTATTCCATTAGTCTGACTTTCTGGTATCCCTTTGGCTTTTTTTTTTTTTCCAATTTACATCTATTGCCTTTTGTTACCTGAAACAGGTATGAAAAGTCTTTTAATATTTCATGTCCTTTTATGAAATACAGATGAACCCCGAGTTTTGGCCGTAATCCTTTCCAGGAGCTAGGCCTACACTTGAAATGGCCGAAAGTCGAAACAATATTTCCCATAAGAAATAATGTAAATACAATTAATCTGTTCCAGACCCACAAAAATATTCACAAAAAATACATTTTTGAAGAATAACTATAGTTTAACATGCTGTATAGTCCTTGTGGCTTAGCGCTTCTTTTTGATTATAATAATAATATAGTTTAACATACATATAGTACTTAAAACATACATATACGTAGTATTAAATGAGTAATACAATACAAAAATAAACATGTAAATAAACATTTAAAATCACATGTATATACCTTTATTGAAGACTCTTTGGCATCTGGAAGATAGGGAGGAGGAGAGAGGGAGGACTTATTATTGCCTCCACCACTGCCTCGCTGCCACTGTGAAGTTTCTTTGGGCCCATGGTGGCTTATTTCAGTCACAATCAGTAAACAAGCATTAAACACAATGAATTTATTGTGAAATGTTTGGATAAGCACGCAGGGTAATGTTCACTCAAGGATAAACAAAGCTAGACTGGCTCACGACACCTGCGCATGGACGCATGTAGGCGTGGGCAGGCAGACAGGTCTGGTACACCGGCCGAAACTCGAGACAAAATTTAGCCGAGAAAAGCAGTCGAAACTTGAAGTGGCCGATACTCAGAGTGGTCGAAACTCAGGGTTCCACTGTATATGGTTATGTCTCCTCTTTCTCCTATAAACCTATAGTACTTTCTACAGGTGGTGTGCGCAGGTTGCTACGTAACAGTATAACCAACTTTGTGGAAATCCTGATGTGTAAATAAATGTTAAGAAAAAACTAAATAAACACGACTTAATATTTGCTGGGGACTTCAGTATCAACCTCATTCAATCAGAAAACCCCAAGAAACACTCCCTGAATAATATGTACAGTTGCTTGCTAATCCTGTCGATAACCAAGCCTATACAAATAACTTAAGACTACTGCAACAGGTCCTCAAACAGAAGGCATATCACAGACAATACTACCAATCACTACCCCACCTTCCTAGTCATCAGCTTGTCAAAATTACCCCTTTATAGTGGCACTCAGCCTCTACAGTAGGCACTGCCCATTAAAAACCAAACAAGTGATAAGAGATTACATAGCCACAGCTATTGCAAGTGAGGCTCTTGATCAATGAAATTGGACCTTTGCTCGAATTACCTAAATAGTCTAAACGCCTTCCATTCCCTAAGGCACTATGACCCCCATGGGTTTAGTGCTCCCACTTTAATGTAATAATTATAGGCTGGACAAGGGTAAATTCTTGGGAATACACCAGGACAGCAAACTAAAATTTCAGCACAAACATTCAGAACATTTCTAAAAAAAATTCTGAAACAGTGGGCATTCTCTAAGGAATATGCTATTATATTCCCAAAGCATCCCAGCTTGCTTTGTACTACCCTATTCTATCCATACCTCACCTGTGGTATATGTACAAGGGGATCAACACATAATGACTTTAAACCTGTTGTTACTTGGTAAAAAATCAGCTCAGAATAATCACTCATTCAGGCTCCAGGCAATACACGCCCCTTTATTCAAAAGTTGAGATTTGCTTAACATACAAAATATTCACCCTTTCTATTGTGCAGGCTATGTCTACAGGAGACTCAACTCGGACATTAACCTGCTTGTTGTACCTGTGTACCGGGTTCAATCCCGCCCGTGGTATGGTTTTTTTTGTGTGTTACTCAAGCTGTACTGGTACTCAGTGTCTTAAATAATGCGCTAGGTGTAGATTTACGTAGCATGTAACACTTTTGATTAGCTTGAATGAAATTCATTGCATAATTAGTGGCTTTCCTCTGTGCCTACATTTGTATCAGATTATTTTGTATCAAAAATGCAATCAACTGAAATGTATATCTACTGGAACTTTTGTATGGCTCATAAGAAATTAAAAAAAAGTTAATTGAACTTAATTTTTATAAATTTTTTAACTCTTGGTAAGGTAAGCATTTTGTAGCTCTTTGGACATTTTCTAACTTATCAATGTGTGTAATTTAGCAGATAACAAAAGATTTATGTACTTAGATCTTGCTGATAGTGTAACCTATATATAGATATGTTAATTAAGGTCACATTCATGTAAATTATTTATAGCAGATATTGTAGGTCACGTGTGCATATCACAGATGAAGGTCATGCATGAAAATAGCGCATAGAATGCTTTGAAATTGGAGGAGTTGATACTGAGTTTGTGTACCAGTGCAGGATCAACCATGTCAGCCAAGGCGATCAGAGAAGTGACGGGCAAGACTCTACTTAACAACAACCTGCCCTCAGGCGTATGTGCCACCTGTCGCTTTGCTTCTGTCTGCCAGGACACCGAGTGGGAGGATCTTGTTAACAACAACCCTTGGCTCAAAACTGAGGTATGTCATACTTTTTTATATTTTTTTTTTTTTTTTTTTTTTATATCACTGGCCGATTCCCACCAAGGCAGGGTGGCCCGAAAAAGAAAAACTTTCACCATCATTCACTCCATCACTGTCTTGCCAGAAGGGTGCTTTACACTACAGTTTTTAAACTGCAACATTAACACCCCTCCTTCAGAGTGCAGGCACTGTACTTCCCATCTCCAGGACTCGAGTCCGGCCTGCCGGTTTCCCTGAATCCCTTCATAAATGTTACTTTGCTCACACTCCAACAGCACGTCAAGTATTAAAAACCATTTGTCTCCATTCACTCCTATCAAACACGCTCACGCATGCCTGCTGGAAGTCCAAGCCCCTCGCACACAAAACCTCCTTTACCCCCTCCCTCCAACCTTTCCTAGGCCGACCCCTACCCCGCCTTCCTTCCACTACAGACTGATACACTCTTGAAGTCATTCTGTTTCGCTCCATTCTCTCTACATGTCCGAACCACCTCAACAACCCTTCCTCAGCCCTGTGGACAACAGTTTTGGTAATCCCGCACCTCCTCCTAACTTCCAAGCTACGAATTCTCTGCATTATATTCACACCACACATTGCCCTCAGACATGACATCTCCACTGCCTCCAGCCTTCTCCTCGCTGCAACATTCATCACCCATGCTTCACACCCATATAAGAGCGTTGGTAAAACTATACTCTCATACATTCCCCTCTTGCCTCCAAGGACAAAGTTCTTTGTCTCCACAGACTCCTAAGTGCACCACTCACTCTTTTTCCCTCATCAATTCTATGATTCACCTCATCTTTCATAGACCCATCTGCTGACACGTCCACTCCCAAATATCTGAATACATTCACCTCCTCCATACTCTCTCCCTCCAATCTGATATTCAATCTTTCATCACCTAATCTTTTTGTTATCCTCATAACCTTACTCTTTCCTGTATTCACCTTTAATTTTCTTCTTTTGCACACCCTACCAAATTCATCCACCAATCTCTGCAACTTCTCTTCAGAATCTCCCAAGAGCACAGTCATCAGCAAAGAGCAGCTGTGACAACTCCCACTTTGTGTGTGATTCTTTATCTTTTAACTCCACGCCTCTTGCCAAGACCCTCGCATTTACTTCTCTTACAACCCCATCTATAAATATATTAAACAACCACGGTGACATCACACATCTTTGTCTAAGGCCTACTTTTACTGGGAAAAAATTTCCCTCTTTCCTACATACTCTAACTTGAGCCTCACTATCCTCATAAAAACTCTTCACTGCTTTCAGTAACCTACCTCCTACACCATACACTTGCAACATCTGCCACATTGCCCCCTGTCCACCCTGTCATACGCCTTTTCCAAATCCATAAATGCCACAAAGACCTCTTTAGCCTTATCTAAATACTGTTCACTTATATGTTTAACTGTAAACACCTGGTCCACACACCCCCTCCTTTCCTAAAGCCTCCTTGTTCATCTGCTATCCTATTTTCCGTCTTACTCTTAATTCTTTCAATTATAACTCTACCATACACTTTACCAGGTATACTCAACAGACTTATCCCCCTATAATTTTTGCACTCCTTTTATCCCCTTTGCCTTTATACAAAGGAACTATGCATGCTCTCTGCCAATCCCTAGGTACCTTACCCTCTTCCATACATTTATTAAATAATTGCACCAACCACTCCAAAACTATATCCCCACCTGCTTTTAACATTTCTATCTTTATCCCATCAATCCCAGCTGCCTTACCCCCTTTCATTTTACCTACTGCCTCACGAACTTCCCCCACACTCACAACTGGCTCTTCCTCACTCCTACAAGATGTTATTCCTCCTTGCCCTATACACGAAATCACAGCTTCCCTATCTTTATCAACATTTAACAATTCCTCAAAATATTCCCTCCATCTTCCCAATACCTCTAACTCTCCATTTAATAACTCTCCTCTCCCATTTTTAACTGACAAATCCATTTGTTCTGACTTTTATATATATTATTTGGAAAGGAATTCCTTCAAGGAAGTGAGTGCTTCGATGCTGGTGAAGGGCTATAAACCAAGGATTAAGAGCTGTTTTCCACCTTCCTTGGATTAAGCAAGATTGCTTTCCATTCCCCAAGCACTATACATATTAGTATCACACTTATGGTTCTGGCACTTCCCAATGAAAATAGTGTATAATAACAATATATTTTGCTCACTATCTAATAATGTACTGCAAAGTTTAACATAAAATTGACCCTAAATGGTTAAAGAAAATTACATAAAAATTTACATAGTGTAGGTTTAAACTTTTGTTACTTTAATTATTCAGTTTGATAGCCCTATTTTTTTTTTGTGTCTGGAAGAATAAGTATGATACTCTTAAAATCTGATTAATAACCATGGGAAATTAGAGGCTATGAAGCCCAATGAAATACAATACAGTATTAGATCTACTAAGCAAGACACTAATGATGAAAGTTTGAAGCCGATCAGAGGAAGTATCCTCCAGTTAACCAGCGATTCCCAGTTTTCATCAACTGTATTTGTACATTTACAAATACAGTGGACCCCCGGTTAACGATATTTTTTCACTCCAGAAGTATGTTCAGGTGCCAGTACTGACCGAATTTGTTCCCATAAGAAATATTGTGAAGTAGATTAGTCCATTTCAGACCCCCAAACATACACGTACAAATGCACTTGCATAAATACACTTACATAATTGGTCGCATTCGGAGGTAATCGTTATGCGGGGGTCCACTGTATATACCTACAAACTATAAATTTATTGGTTATAATCCATTTCATGAAATGTATCAGTGTGGTTTGAAGCTGATCAGAATAAATATTCTTATTTATTGAATGGAAATCAATGATCTACTTTATATAACATATGACAAATTGGGACTTGTGCAGACTGGAAACAAAGCGAAGCATGTGTTCAGGAATGCACACCAGCAGCAGAAGTTTGAAACTGATTAGAAAAGGCATTCTCTAGTTTTAGCATGGATTTCAAATTTTTTTAATGGTTTTAGCATAGATTTCAAATTTTAATTTTTTTTTTTTTGAGGATGTGCTGACTACACACCTTGTATCACAACTTTAGCTTATTATAGTATAGGAGTGATGGTATTTTAACATGGAGTGATTATGTTTTGTGTTATGGTACAGTAAGGGGGTGTGTGATGCATGTGTAACATGGAGAGGTTGGTGTTTTAAACAGGTGAGGGGTGTTATGTCTGTAATGTAAATGGTTTGTTGGATGTTGTGGCACATTGGGGAGAGGTGATTTAAACAATGTAACATGTAGGGGTCATATGTATTGTGTGATACTTAGGAGGTTGAGACTGCCCTTGTAACAATGGAGGGACACGTAGTACAATATGTGGGTCTTAATACTGTTTATGGAGAGCTTTACAGTTGTAAATGTATTAAATATACAGTACTGTAAAGGTATTCCTTTTAAACAAATAATTAGGAATGTTTTGGGTACAAGCATGATTAAAAATGTAAGTATAAGCAGAACCTGGCTTACATTTGTTAGTAAACCTGTTGCATTGAAATTTTTCTTATTCCGTTTTATTGTGCTGCAGAAGTTGGTAGTGAAACCTGACCAGCTCATCAAGCGTCGTGGGAAACTGGGGCTGATCAAGGTTGGAGCTGATCTTGCTGCTGTCCAGGACTGGGTGAATGAACGTATGAACAAGGAACAGCAGGTGAGTTTGTGATCCTTGGCACACATCATGCTACCCCTCAAGGTAAGGGCCTGTTCATGTCTTGCAGACAACCCACCACATTTTGACACGAGACACACGTACGTTCCTCAGTATTCTTATGTCTTGCTTAGGCAGCATGTCAGTATATTTAGCCTGAGTGGGGATGTTGACATTTAGTATTAACGAGGTAGTTATCAGTAAGATTAGGGTTACATTCACTTGATCCATGCGCCAGTTTGACTTTCCTATACCTTGGGTATACTATAATCAAATTAGTCTTTGTTCCATAACTATGAGAAATGGGAAAACAAATTAAACTGGTGAAAGGTACACTTACAATTACAGTAGTTAGTCCTCCACAGTTTACTTGTTAAAATTTATAAGCGTCCATTTATCTGTTGGTCTACCTATGGCCAAAGCTGAGCCCCCTTCCATCTGTCTAGCATGTCCTCCCATTGGATTGGTATGGTTTACACATCACATTCTCTCCTCTCTAAAAAAAAAATTTAGGAGAATTGATGATTTTCTTAAACTTTAATGTCATTTTTTAAATTCCCATTTCATTTTCTATCTTTAAAAAGACACTCAACATTAAAAAAAAAAAAATTGACTTTCCAAATATAACAAGGCAGGTGCCTCCCAGGAAATGAGCATCAATGGCAATAACTCAGTTAACAAAATTAAAAGCATGAATATAAAAAAATTTCTTAAATACAAAAGTGGATTACTTAAACTTTCATCAAACCCTAAGGAGATCTTGCCTTCTTATTTTTTTTTTACAAAGCTCCCTTAAAATTTTAATTTTCTGGTTTCTTCAGTAAGCAGACTTCTCTGTGCCTTATAAATAAACAAGTTCTTCCTTGCCTCAATACATACATTCACACACACACAGGTCTCCCAGCCCTTTGAACCCGATGAAGATCTGGTTTTAGCACATGTCATGCATTTCACAGGTGAACCAACATAAAGGTGATTCTAAGGTGTGTAACCCCTTAAAGTTACAGACCATATTGCATCCAGATGACTCCATTACTTCCCTTTACTAGAAATGGGGCACCAGCATCTTGCCCTACTCTTACTAATTTATCAGTTAGGCCTAGTCATTTGAAGTTGGATTATACTTATACCAGAGAGCATCTCTTATGGGCAGCATTCTTTCAAGATACTAGACATCTGCACATCTTCACAGTAGGAAGTCATATTGCTCCACCACCATGCACATCAACCAGGGAATGAATCAGGAGGCCACAGTCACACTACTACCTGTGCATTATTGATTATTTGAGGTAACCTGGACAACCGATTCAGTATCACAGTGATCTTGCTTACACAGGTAGCTGACATTTCCACCCTGGCAGGTTGAAGTCTACAGGGGGACATCACCTTACTCCATGAGCTTTCCATTCCTAGTTGGGATTTTAACCATGGGTGGAAGAAGGCAGACACCCACTCTCTGTCTAGGGACTCCAGCACCTTGATACTGGGCAGCTGGTGATGATTGCTGCCCTACAGCAAGGCATGGTAGTAGATGGTAATCAGCTCTGTTGATAGGTGGTTATTGGGCAGCATGGTGAGTGAGTGGTTGGACAGGCAAGATACTCGGCTACTGAGGTGAGTACATGGAGGATAACAGTTGGGCAGGCAAGTGAAGTGAGCAGCTGCTATGCTCTGCTCAGGGCAGGTGGGTGGTAAGGTGAGGGGTCAGGCACTGAGGCTTTTTCTGAGGGTGGCAGCTCGTGAGTAGGCAGGGCACCATTGCTGAAGGCATTACTGAGGCAGAATGCCATACCTCTCCATTATAATAGGAAACTCCTCCCTACCTCCCAGGGTGAGGCATCCACTGAGGTAAGGAACTACCAAGGTGGTCAAGGGATGGTGAAGGATCACTAGGTTATAACCCAGGTGGGGCACAAGTTTTGGATCATCCCTGGGCTGGGCACTGGGCCCTAAGGCATGGTAGATTTGGAGCAGCATCACACAGCACCCCTTCCATGTAATCTACCTCCTTTTCACTTTGTCTTGGTCCTTCCTGTTGCTGATTTCAGGTATTGATAGCCTGATAAAAAAAAAATGCTGGTGTTAGCAACACATTCAAATGTCACCATGGCACAACTGATCTGGAACCGACTTGTGTAATTTAAGTTCTGTCTTGAAGACAGCTAGGCAATCTATTGGTAATTCCAGTAATGCAGCATTTAAAAGGAAGGTGTTAGTCTTGAGCCCTTTACACTTGTCTCTTAATATACTTGTTGCACCCCTTTTTCAGTGGGGTATTTTGTGCCATCTGTTTAGACAAATTCTCAAAAGGAGTATCTTCACTGTGCAGATTTTAAATCTGTCGCTCTATGATTATTATGCAGCGTTGTTGCCTGCATTCCACGAATAAAGTTTTAGGCATTTTAGGTATTGCCAATAATTTAGGCATTTATCTGAATTGATATGGGCAGTAAAAGCTCTCGGTACATTTTCCAGCTTTGTAATTTCACCTGTCCTAAAAGGCTTAGTGTATAGCAGTATTTCAGTCTAGATAGTATAAATGCTTTAAAGAGTATCATTGATCGGCTTCAAACTTTGTGTTGGTGTGTCTTTATTTGAGGAAGGTTTGTACAGTATTGTTATTGGGCTGTGTAGGTGCCAATATTGTAGCAGTTTCCATGAACAGGTAAAACAGGTTATCTTCAGCACTTGTGCCCTTCTCTTCCCACTAGTCCTTCTCTTTTGTTTCTTTTCTTCATTTCTTCTTTGTCCTCTCTTATCTTCCCTACTTCACTTCTCTTCCATTCCTCTCCATCACCTTTCCTATTTCATTTCACCTCTCTTCTTTCCAGTTCTCTTCCTTTCTTTATCTTTTCCTCCTTTCTCTTCTCTTCATGTCACCTCTTCTTTTCCTTCAGTTTCTCCTTTTTTTTCATCCCATATACTTCTCTTCCTCTGTTCTTATTTTCATCTCTTCCCATCATTTCTTCCTCCAGTCATGTCTTAATCTTCCACCTTATCGTCTCCTTATTTAGGGAGTAAATTGCAGTGCGAAAATAATACGTCGTAGTTAGGCTTAGGCTAGGATAAAAGTATATTCGGCAGCTAGACATGTATATTGATGGGGATGAAACTTAGAGCAAAGAACGCTTTAGCTTAGCCACTTTCTTGACCACTGCCTACTCTCCACTTATTGAGAAATATAGGCAGTACATTAACCTGCAAGTCAGAGTATCTAGTTAATAAAAATAAGACATCAGAAATCCTGAGCAAATACCCTAAATTTACTTGTCAGCTTAGGATATATATATTCAGTATATACCCACATATATTATTGCTAATTGATTAAGGGTTTGTTTTATATTTTTACTTTTTTTTTTTTTTTATTCATATGGTCTTGCGCTGCCGTCCAAGGGATGGATAGCTGTAGATTGTGTAGTAAACTAGTTGCTATTATGGCAAAATCGAATCGTAAGAAAGTGTCTTACATTCAATATTGTGTATATTTTACGTTAAATGTATTATATTAGCTGAATTCTGCCCAAAATGCTGTGCATCCTTTAAGCTTTACGGTAGGAAACCTAATGCGAATTAAAATATTTAGTAGGAGCACACTGCTGATGTACCACTATCCGCCACCACCTTTCCTCCTTGCTCCTCATCCCTCAACCATTGACCTCGGTTACTAAATTTAGCCTAGCAACCTGGTGTTTGATAAAGTAATGTAGTATAATGCAGTTTAGACTTGTCCAGTGTATATATTGAGCCATCCTACATTTAGTGTGTTGCTTAATACAAATGTACATAGTTTTTATTTATTCTTAGTAAGTACTTATTCTTAGGCATATGGTTTAGTATTAAAATTACACAGCTATGAACAACGGATCTGCATAATTTCCCTATGTATGCATTGAGGAAGAATTAGACACGTAACACCTGAACACTGGCTACCAGGCTGAGGGACAGATTACCTCATCTTCCAGTCTTCTGTGTATAATTCTGCAAGATTGAAGGACTGATTACCCCATTTTCTACTGTCTCCTGTTTCGATATCTTCCATTACTTCTGTATTGAGTTGATAAAGCCACTTGTTGGCGACAAATCTCCAGACAGATACCCTGGTGTTGTCTAGTTTCTTATCATGTCGGTATTGCATACCAATATTGTACTGCATGTATTCTTAGATACCGGTACACGGTATAATGTACCTCAAATTCTTCCGCCTGTCTTTTTCTTTTCTTTATATAATTATTGTTGATGGAGTTATCTTAAAAAAAAATTCTTCGGTATGGGATAAGCCATCCTGGGAGATGGTAATTCCCAGGTAATAGAAACTCCAGTTCTGCTGACACGAAACCTTTGAAGCTCCGGTAGCTGCTGAACACTTAATGGGATACTTTACGATATTCATTATCCTGCAGAAATCTGCCATCTGTCTGACGGATTTCAACACTTTGTATAAACCTATCCTGTGTGATGGAATATGACATGGGGAAATAGTTGCCTCTTGTTCCCACAGAATAACTCATGGTTACACAAAGTAAGACGCGTACTTGAAAAAAAGTGTGATAGGTGATGGAGATGTTATCTTAATCATGTGCTGTGGCGTGACAAGCAGGCCACCCGCATCACCCGATCACCACCAGCCATGCGCCTCGCCCCATCACCTCTGTCATTCACCAGCCCCCACATTCTCGCACCACGTGTGATCCTCGTGCATGTTTGAGCATTTCCTGGTGCCGTCCCAGCCACCGCGTTGCCAAACGTGTATATAATTTTTTTTATTGGCAACGTGTATATAATTTTTTTTATTGTCTTCATGGATAAATAAAAGTTTTTATAATTTATGCACCGTAACCTATCTTAAAGAAAATAGTACGCGGTTTCCTGGTTGAACAATTCAATAACTTTTTTGCTCGTATAAATTTAGACATTGGTAAAATTTTAATGAATGTTCCTCTGTCGAGACTTGGCAATGACCATGTAAGTAATAATGAAAATTCGGAAATTGACGTTGGGAATCG